AGTAACAGCACTGAATAATCTGAACATGCGTGTGTGTTTAAATGAGATAATGTTGCTAATAAAAGTGCAGAAATTGAGCTGGACATGTAGGGAAATTTTTGCATGGTAAAGAAAAAGCTGCTTTCCAGTCCCCAAAGAGTGACCATTCTTGCAAAATGAGAAGATTAACAGCTTATGATTCCTGGTGGAGAAGACAGAGGTTTCAATGACAGTACTGACCGAGCCGCAATAATTTCTCCTTCTTCTTCAGTGTCTGTTCTAGTCACTCTGACATCAAGTCAAAGCTTTTTTGATTTATTTCTAAAGTGACCTTGTATTGTTTATAGCAGCTTCCCAGCTGATGGCACAAGGAAACTCTCCCTTCACTCTTCCCTACACTTCTTGGAAAGTGAAAGAAACAGGTAATTGTGATCTACTTCCAAGAAAACAGCTCCACAGCACACATTCCAAATGAACCCAGTCTCAAAGTCCAAGGCCGCTTCGCACGTCCCACAGATGCAAAACAGAAGTTGCCCACAAGTATGTACCGAAGGTCAATCATGATATGACTTCTCACTTTCTTTTTGAAAATTTAACTTCATTGACATCAGTTCCCCAAATGTCCAGTGGTTGTCCAGAGAATTCTGAAAAATGAAGTCCCAAAATGAAATTTATAAATTCTGTTTGTTTGTTTGTTTATTTACAGTATTTATATCCTACCCTTCTCACCCCACAGGGGACTCAGGATGGATTACAGTGTACATATACATGGCAAACATTCAATGGAAAGTGAAAGAAACAGGCAATTGTGATCTACTTCCAAGAAAACAGCTCCACAGCACACATTCCAAATGAACCCAGTTCCAAAGTCCAAGGCCGCTTCGCACATCCCACAGATGCAAAACAGAAGTTGCCCACAAGTATGTACCGAAGGTCATACTTGGAGAGATAGACACACAACCTATACAGACACACAACGGCTATTTAACTTTCCAGCTTTCATGAGGGTATTCTGGCCACCAGGGGAGCTGTCGCTTCACTGTCCATTTGAGACATTGATGGAGTACTTTTTCATTCTTTGCTTGTTTGCTTGCTGGAGATTTTTATGGTGTCATAAATTAGTTAAATTAGTCTCCCTGCATAAGCGGTACCTAAATTTCCTACTTGACAGCTGCAACTGTCTTTCAGGCTGCAAAGATTGGCAGCAAGCTACACAGAATGGTTGGAAATTCACTCTGACCCAGGCTGGCTTCGAACTTACGTCCTTTTGGTCAGTAGTGGTCTTAATGCAGCTGACCCCCAGCCAGCTCTGCCACAGTCCTGGTGTTTACACATTAGTATTGATTACATCTCTTTGGGGAAATCATGACATGAGACAGAACTGTAATGTGAACTCCTTATGTGTGTTTACAATACAGCCATGTGTGGCCATCTCCACCAAAGACCAGTTGACTGGGATGGCTCACACAAGGCATCCAGAGAATGCATAATAGGTCACAGGGTCATATCATCATAACCATTATCATAAAAGAATAATAGAGTTGAAAGAGACCACACGGGCTATCTAGTCCAACCCCCTGCCATGCAGAAAAGCACAATCAAAGTATCCCTGACAGACGGACATCCAACCTATGTTTAAAAGTTTCCAAGGAAGGAGCTTCCATCACACTCTGAGGCAGCTCGTACAATCAGGAAGTTCTTCCTAATGTTCAGGTGGAATCTTCTTTCCTGTAACTTGAACCCATTGCTCCGAGACCTAGTTTCAAGGGCAACAGAAAACAAGCCTGCTCACTCTTCCTTAGACACGCTTTCACATATTTATACATGGCTATCATGGCTCCGCTCAACCTTCTTTTCTACAAGCTAAACATGCCTTGTTCTTTAAGATGCTCCTCATAGGGCATGGTCTCCAGACCTTTGATCACTTTATTTGCCCTCTTCTGGACACCTTCCATCTTGTCAATACCACTTTTAAACTGTGGTGCCCAGAATTGGACACAGTATTCCAGGTGAGGTCTAACCAAAACAGAATACAAAGGAAACATGACTTCCCTCGATCTAGACACAATACTCCTTTTGATGCAGACCAAAATCCCATTGGCTCTTTAAGCTGCCACATCACATTGTTAGCTCATGTTCAACTTGTCCATGAAATTACCAAGGTCTTTTTCATATGTACTGTTGTTGAGCCAGGAATCACCTATTGAATGTTTGCCTTTGTATGTGTAAATTGTCCTGGGTCTCCCATCCTCCTGGGGAGATAGGGCAGTCTAAAAATAAAAATGATGATGATTATTAAGATTATTATTTTGTATCTCTGCATTTCATTTTTTTTTCTGCCTAAGTGTAGTATCTTACATTTATCCTTGTTGAAATTCATTTTGTTAATTTTGGCCAATCATCTCTCTAATCTGTTAAGGTCATCTTGAATTCTGATCCTGTCCTTTAGAGTATTAGCTATCCCTCCCATTTAGTATAATGCCAAGTTTTTAACATTCTTTCTGTTTTCAAATACATGATACTGTACCCTCAATTCGCTTCTCACATGATAAATAAATAAATAGCAATCCCTCTTAATTTGGTGTCATGTTCAAACTTAATAAGCACGCCCTCAAAAGCTTCATCCAAGTTATTAATAAAGATGTTGAACAGAACTGGGCCCAGGACTGAACCCTGCAGAACTCCACTGGTCACTTCTTTCCAGGATGAAGTGGAACTATGGGTGAGCACCCTTTGGTTTTGGTCACTTAACCAATGACAGATCCACCTAATAGTAGCATTGCCTAGCCCACATTTGACTAGTTTTCTTGCAAGAAGATCATGGGGGACTCTGTTGAAGGTCTTACTAAAATCAAGATATGCCACATCCACAGCATTTCCTGCATCTACCAAGCTTGTAACTCTATAAAAAATAGATAAGATTCATCTGGCATGAATTGTTTTTGAGAAATTCATGTTGACTTTTAGTAATCACAGCATTCCTTTCTCAGTGCTTGCAGACTGCCTCCTTAATTATCTGCTCCAGAATCTTTCCAGGTATTTATGTCAGGCTGACTTGACGGTAATTGTTTGGGTCATCTTTTTTCCCTTCTTGAAGATAGGGACAACATTTCCTCTCCTCCAGTCTGCTGGGACATCTCCAAGAATTCTCAAAGATTATTGCTAGTGGTTCTGAAATGTCTTCTGCTAGTTCCTTCAATACACTTGGATGTAGCTCATCTGTCCCTGGAGACTTGAAATTATTTAGAGTTTCAAGGTGTTCCTTGACTACTTCTTTACTTATTTTGAGTTGCATTTCCCCTATTACCTCGTCCACTCCATATCACTCAGGTTACACCAATCTCCTTTTGGGAGAAGATTGAGGCTAAGAAGATGTTGAACAGCTCTGCCTTTTCCCTATCTCCTGTTATCAATTAACCACCGTCTCCATGCAAATGCCCTACCATATTTTTTCTTTTTCTACTGACATAACCAAAGAACCTTTTAAAATTGGTTTTAATCTCTCTGGCAAGCATGAGCTCATTTTGTGCCTTAACTTTGTGAACCTTTTCTCTACACATGTTGGTTATTTGTTTGGATTTCTCTTTGGTGATTTCCTCCCTTTTCCACTTCTTGGGCATGTCGCTTTTAAATCTTAGCTCAGCTAAAAGTACTTTGGACATCCATTCTGGTTGTTTTACACTTCTCCTATTTTTCTCCTTTTGGCACTGTTTCAATTGTATCTTCAGTATCTCACTTGTAAGAAACTCCCATCCATCATTAACTCCCTTCTCTCTTAGTATTCCTGTCCATGGAATCGTGCTCAGTGTTTCATTATATTTTCTGAAGTCAACTCTCCTAAAATCTAGAATGCGTGTTTGACTTCTCTTAGTTTCACCCTTCATTTGTATCACAAACTTCAGGAGCACTCCCACCTAAGGATCCAATCACTTCTACTCCACTAACCAGATACTCAGTGTTTGTTAGGATCAGATACAGAATAGCGGATCCCCTTGTTGCCTCTTCAACCTATTGGACAATGAAATTGTCTAGAAGGCAAGTGAGGGATTTATTGGACTTTGTACTCTTGGCAAAGTTTGTTTTCCAACAAATATCAGAGTAGTTGAAATCCCTCATTACCACTATATCTCCTTTTTCTGCATGTTTGGTTATCTGGTAAAGAAAGACTTCATCCAGTTCTTTTGTCTGGCTTGGAGGTCTGTAGTAGACCCCCACAACTGCATCTTCTTTAGTCCTTGTTCCCTTAATTCTTATCCAGATGCTCTCAACCTTGTTTTCATGATTGAAATCTTGAATCTCTTGACATGTGTAAATATTTTTTGACATATAATGCTATTCGACCCCCTCTCCTGTTTGGTCTATTTCTCCAAAATAGGTTATACCCTTCCATTGCTACATTCCAGTTACAGGACTCATCCCACCAGGTTTCAGTTATGCCTATTACATTGTTAACTGCTTTGTTGTGCTAAGAGTTCCAGTTTATCTTGTTTATTTTCCATGCTCTGGGCATTAGTGTAAAGACATCTAAGCTCATGGGACATTCCCCTTAGCTGCTTATTTGAGATTATTGTCACCTCACTGTTTAGTACTTGTTGTGTTTGTCCAACTCTCTCTTTAACCTTTTGTCTGTTCACTCCGGGCGTTGATAAACTACTGTTCCCAAGGATAATGCTAACCTTCCCCATACAACCTAGTTTAATGTTTGCCTGATCAGGAATGCCAGTCTTTGAACAAAAACATTCCTTCCTACTTCTGTATGGTGCAGCCCATCCCATGCCAATAAGCCATGTTTCTAGAAGAGTACACCATGGTCCAGGAAGCCAAATTGTTCTTCCTGAAACTATTTGAGGAACATCTACTATTTTTCTTGCTCTTTCTGTGATGTGTAGTATAACGGGTAGGAGAGATGAAAAGACCACCTGTACATTAAGATCTTTTAGCTTTCTTCCAAGAGCTTCAAAATCCTTTCTGATATTTTGATTAGTGTTGAATACGTTGGACATGATCATCATTAATCATTTATTAATATATAGACATCAAATATGCATTGCATTTTACAGTAAAACAACCAAAAACAGTAGATTCTACCAAAGGCCTACAACCTAAAATATACACATAGAAGGTAACATAACAAAATACAAATTGTTCAATACAATTCCAAAACAAAAAATGCAGATAAAATGCAAAAACAAATAATATAATACAAAGCAAGCTAAATAATACATGTACTCAAAAATGCAAGTTCTGGACTGAGTGGCTATGCCATCCACTCTCCTTGAATTTGGTGTACATGATGCTTACAAACATAAACATTAACATTAATGTAGAATCTGTGCAAGAAGCAGCCATGTTAAAATGGATACTTGCCTGAAGATAGTATCAGATGTAATACAGTTTGTTCACATTAGTTTAAAAAGGTAATGAAGTTGTCGAGAGTCAAGCCTTTTCTGAGATGTATCTGAACTACATGGAGTTTGAAAATCAAAATCTATAGTGTTCAATCATTTCCCTATACCTGATGGTGATGACTGGAATTTAGAGGATGGGATGAGTCAACCTTTATCAACTTGCTTTGATAAAGTAGCACAGAGTGTGGGTTGAGATGTAGCACAACCTGAAAAAGATGTCAAAATAGTGATATAAAATCATATGGAACTTCAACACTCAAACTGATATACAGTTAGAACATAACATGTCAGACATAACCATGGTTAAGAAAAAGTAGACTTGGATTATAAATAGGGATTATAAATCCCAGGAGACAACAGAATTATGGCAAAGAGAGGAAGCCGTTTGTGAAATATTGAGACTTACAAATAGAGATGCAGTGACTTTGGGCAGAGAAAACAACCGTGGTTTGAGTAATGATAGGTGCTCTGGGAACAATTCCAAATGGACTGAAAAAAATCTGAATGACATTACTATACAGAGAATCACAACAGAATAGCAGCATTGCTTGGAAAATGCCACGTCTGATAATATTAATTGATTCCTTGATTCTTAGACAGTATCCAAATAACTGTCCAAAACTTCAGTTGGCAACACCTGGCATATTGTGAAATCATTATAAATAATAACAGGTACTGCTATTGTAGTTTTGCTGACATTGCTTAGTCTTGTTCATTATTGTAAGTAGTTCTAAGTCCCTTCAGGGAGAGGGGATGGGGTGAAAACAATGTTTATATTATCATTATCATTATTATTATTAACCACTATTCACTAAATTTGCTTACTATTGTCTCCCCTTGTAGTTTTCATATTATTCCAGTTTACATATAGGGCAAAATCCATCCTCAGAATTGCTAAACAGCTTTAAAACCATTGATTTCAATAGATGACTTAAGCAAATGCTTAGCTCTCTCCTACTGAAGATCAGTGGGGCTTACATGTACTTAGCTTTATAGCTGGATTGAGGCCAGAGTTTGAAACGTCAGATGAACACTTTTCAATATCTTCTTAATGATGATTAATTTCTTTGATATTCATTCTAGTAGCAGTAATTATGATGAATTCATTTAGCACAAATGTGGACAGAGCATTTCAATTCCTTTAGCATTTCAGGAGAACCCATTTTAAATGAATAATTGGAGAATAATGAATAATGGAATGGAAGGAAGTTAGCATGTCAGCCATAAATTGTACAATAAAATAGCATAGTTGGTGAGCACTTCAGTATAATGCAGTTTTAATGAATGGTAGATCCACCCAGATGCATGTTGGGTGTTAATCTATGAAAGCTCCAAGCAGGAACATAGAAGATTTTGTTTCTGTTTCTTTTTTTAAAAAACCTCCTTCTAATGAGCTCCATTGGCTCATTAGACAACTCACTACACAACCAAAAACAAAAAAAATGTGTTGGACTGTGATCCCTTTGTGACTCTCAGTCAGTATATAGTGGTGAAAAAGGATGGGAATTGTAGTACCATATCAATTTGAAGAATCATGCATTGCCTGCTAACCCCCCAAAAGAAGACACCAGACAACAGTTATGGATTTAAAACTGGGCAACTTTATTGTTACCTAATTAACTCAGCAACAGAATCACTTAATCAGACTAGCATGAACGTGTAGTGAATAAAGCCGAGGTGGTGTCCCTTCCCGGCCTACCCCTCGGCAAAATAGGGTGAAGCACCCAGTTCCCGTGTGACATAAACCAGGGTAACCTTTTAGCCAATGTTGGAGGAATCTTCCTCAAGGATATTGAGGTAAGACCCTCCCCATTTGAAAGCCATTTATCCAGTAGTCACCTCGGTCAAGGTAACAACCAGTGATGTTTATGTTAATGGCTTTCCCCAAAAGGGGGGCTGCTTTGGGTGAACACCAAATGTATTTCTTCCTAGCTGTTTTTCCGCCACAGGATGAGGGCAAGTGTCTACTTAGCTCCATCCCCCCACCCCTTAAAACAGCTCTTAACCAACTGCTAGCCTAACCTGTAACAAAGTTGTCCCAGAACGTATGCGTGAGCAAAAATCAACCCCCTGTCGTGCATGTTGACGGTTAATAATTGTGGTAACCTTAATTTAGATTAATGACAGTGTATATCTTGTCACCATCCAACAAGATCTTAATATTGTATTGCATTATGTCAGTGTCAGCGTGTGTGATGATGGTAATGTGTCAGAAGCTGGGTTATCACCAGTCTTCAATGATGTAACGTTGTCATCGATCACCAGTAGGAGAACCTCTAGTCCAATCACTCGGTGATCCGTAGTTCCAAAACCACACCAGCCTTTCGCTGTTGGCATCAATAACGGCAGGTAGGTCTCCAGTGCCGACCATGGGACAGATAGTCCAATACAAGCCTCCGTCGCTCTGACCCTGTGGTTCATCCGGTCAGCTGTTTGTGTTTCACCAAACTGAGGCTATAAGACTCAAAACAAAGATCAGAGACAAGGGAGAGGGGGCGTTGTACCCCTCTGACCTCACAAACCGGGTTGTATATCCAGGCTGACCTTGTGATATCCATAGTCTCAATGAATCCAGTCCCCATGACCCTCATAGGTCGGACCATTATCTGTGAGGCCTAACCCGCTCTCACTCGGATACAGTTGTCTGGCACCCCGTGCCAAGTGACACCACCATTGTAATGAGTGCAGCCAGCACTCTTCCAATTTGAATGGATCTCCCTCACCGCCTGTGGCATATTTCAAAGTTCGTTGTATTATGGCTGGCCAAAATCGTGAAAATAACAGGATTTAGTAGTAATGAACTGTTGGGTCCGCTCGATGACCCCTAACCCTTAAATCTCACCAGTGCCAGCTGATTGTGGGACGGCTCTTAACCAAACTACTAATGGCCTTTTGGTGCTGTGCTGGTATAATATCTTCGATGTCAGAAACTATCAAAACATGAGGGAATATATCACTAATCTATTAATGAGGTTTTAAGATCTCACAAGTATTTAAGAAACATGAAAACCTAACAAGTTGGATTAAATGATAAATGAACCCCTAGATGGGCAAGTGGAATTTGGTCTTCGTCATTGTCTTATCTCTTGATTAATGTAATAGTATTATTATTAATATTGCAATATTAGTATTATTTAGCTATTTATTCCAATTTATATAAGGTATATTTAATTGTGGTGACCTGCCAAGGCACCACAGTCTATGTTGCGGCCCCAGGAAAGTAACAGTAATGATGATGGCTTTTGTCTGTCTGTCATGTGTCCATAAATTAACTATAAAGCCAGGATTGTCCAAGATTGGTTATAATTAGCTATATGTGTTTTGGTAATTTAGCTAAACTCGGCGATAGTGGTTGCCTTGGGCTCTGTGGGCCTAGACAATAAAGGCGATGTAACTGGATGGGAGCCCGTCAACGTAACACATTTATTGACTAGCCCTGACTTAATCAAGGGGCTCGTCCTAAAAATAACTTACAGTCTATATTACCAGAATCTCGGCTTGGAGCTCTTGTAAGTTCTGGCAACCACCAATCCATGTAAAAGCAGTATTATGACCAAAGGACTCTAATTCTGTAAAAACTGGTTAAGCCGGAGGCAAATGCATGGCCTGGGAAAAAACTCTGACAAACCAGCTCTAAGCGAACGCCTTGTCTTGTGAGGATCCAAACGTCAATTAACGATCAGTGAAGTCTGGAATATCACGCGTAACTTGTTGACATTGTTACGCCAACATATCTCAGACTATCCGAAATCACCTTGGCATCTCCAGATAGAGGCTGTCACCCGTCCTTGATATGAATCGCCCAGTCCTAGGTGACACTTACAACTTTTGCCGTTCATGGTGAGCTGCCTTAGTGTTTTCCAGCGAGGCCCAAAGCCCTTGTTGCTAGTTGTATAGCAAAGCCGATATGTGCCAATCATAAATTTATTTATTTGGCTGTTTAATTAGTTTTGTTTTCTACCTTGTAAGGCAGACGTCCAATAAAGCAAAGCCTAATTGCGATCCCGTGGAGCCAAATGTAGTGGTCCAGAGGCTGACTGGGCAGGAAACTCTGGATATAACTGGCTAGTTAAATGGTGAAAGATTGGGAACACTGGTCCTTATCTTGAGTGAACTTATTGGGAAGAAGAAGAGAAGGGGGGGCTCTGTGATACGGTGCCCCTTTGTTTAAGTCTAACCGAAATCGCCGTTAAACAACAGCTTTTTCTAATTTATTGTAGGCGCCCTAGCCCTGTAACAGTCATAAAATAACTTGTTGTCCCGGGCCGCCCCTTATCAACTCTATGGCATCCTTAAATAAATTAGCGTGCTCCAACCTAGGCTCCCTTTGCAAAGAAAATGTACTGGTATCCACTACCTGAATCGCATGATTAAAGCCTCCACAAAGACAGGTGGGGGAGAGGGGGAGGTTTAATTTGACCTGGTCCCCGCAAACTATTTTAACCACCTTGGGTCCATGCATAGATATGACTCCTTTTAGGTAGTTAAACTTGGTCTCAGTTATATGCAATGAGTGGACTCAAGCCGTATGTTAAAATGACCTTATGTTAGCGTTAAGCGCCGAGGCTGACCGTAGCTGGTTACCAGTCCATGTGACCCTGGGGTTAATCTCCTCATGATTTCCGTTATCAAATCTCAGCCAAGTTAAGGTTCCCCGGCTGCCTTTTGATGAAACAACCTGTCATATCGGAGCCCAGCATCTCCAGGGAACTCCAGTATGCCTCTCCAGTTATATCAAGATATTTGAAAAGAGAATGAGCCTGAGCCAGGTAACGTTGTGTTATTTTCCCAGCGTGAAACATAAATCAGTAATCCAATTGGCCAAGCTCCGATCCACCCTGGCTGCATGTGTTGTCATTTATGTGCTTGTTCAATCCATGACCCGTTGTGATGTCTAAATAGGGTGAATAAATCTATAACTTCATTGTCCAAAATAGCAACTATTGATTATTTTTGTAGGTGTGACCCCAACGATGCAGGGGCAAGTCCCTCTAACAATGGCCTTAAGTTGTGGCTCTATCCACTAGTTGCTGAGTGCTAATTTTAACAACGGCTGTGTTGGTCGTTTTGGCAAGTGTCTGGGTGCTAAAACTAATGGCCACTGAGGAATTACTTCAGTGTGCAGTTTGATTTAAGTGAAGCACCATTCTGCATTTTACATGGTACATCATCTCTCAGACCTGAAGGCCAATCGATATTAACTAGT